TGTTTGTAATTTATTTTAAGTATTTAAATTTTTTTTATATTTTATTTAATTAATTTTTTTGCAGTTATTTTATTTTAATTTTTTTATTATTTATCATGAAATACTTGCTTTATTTTGTTAATTTGGTTGGATTTTTTTATAATTTATTTTGTTTATTTTGTTGGACTTTTTGTTAATATATTTTGATAATTTTGTTTATTATCATTTAATATCAATTATTGTAATTTGGTTATTATTTACCAATTAATACTTATTTTAAGTTTGTTGTATTTAGAATTATATTCAAATTTCAAATTATTATTAGTTTATTAGTTTGATAAAATTAAATAATTTTATTCGATAACTTTCTTAAGTTTGTCACTTATTACCTCTTTTATTATAATCACATATAACGCCAACGTACAATCTCGTTATCTTGTATCATTTTTTTAATCTTCATCAGCGGTTATTGAATGATATTAACTTTAAGTAAATGCAAATTAAAGTACAGGAATTATTATTTGATAAACAACTACATCAGTTCCTCGTCAATTATTACTTGATGGCAATAGTAGTGGACATATTCTCCTAGCGTGTCATGAGTTTCTACAAATGCCCACATTTTTTGGCATGTCTTATGGTTTCTCAAATATCCATATCACAATGCGAGTTGATTTTGGACGACCACGCTCCCTCAATAAACTTGGATTTGGTACAATCGGAACCTAATTCTAAACCTCATCAGGGTCTTTGTCATTACCTATGGGTGGAAACTCAAATTCGTATACCTTAAAAACTTATGATAGTAGGTATACGGGATCCACAAAACGGTTATAGTCTTGACGAGTATGCGAGCAAGTTGCTATCACATGAGAGCATGAATACTTAAGAGCTTGAAAAAAACCGCAGTTGCACGTTCTATCCCGTAGATTTACTCTTAACGACACAACTTCAATCCCTTGAAGAGGTCATGGCAACTCTGTGACACGAAACAATGCATGTGTTCTAGAGAAGCTTGTTATAGACGTTCCATTTGATGCATCAATTTTTTTTGTAGATTAGCAACTAATCTAGGGTGATAGACATAACCGCATTGCATCCAGGTTTGAGCTTGTCCCCCGAGCTTCGTAAAAAGTGCCCCCAAACGAAAATATGTAATTTTAACCAAAGTCGCTACAGGTAAGTGACGTGCACCCTTTAAGGTCGAATTGATTACCTCAGCCAAGTTGGTCGTCATGTGTCCATATCGATATCCACCATCATATGTGTTTGTCCACATTTCTTTATCGATGAGGCTGATGTAATCGTATCCTTCCTCGTTCTTCGCTCGCAAATCTTGAAGCATTGATTCAAATGTTTGAGGAAGTAGTTCGTAACCTGATCAAAAAATGTAGAACTTACTAACTTTGTTTATTTGCAAAATGAAAATGATCGAAAGAAAACAAACTACACCAGTTTCACTTACCCATGCGCACAAGTAATTGACGCTCATCATTCTTCTTGTACCTTCCATGGTAGTTCGCATCAATGTGTCAGATACAATACCTATGTTGGACAAAGGGTGGTTTCCACATTGGACCCAAAGACTCCATTACTGCTTTGATCTCAGCTCCATGATCTGAAATGACACAGATTTTTTCCCTCGTGATAACATGTGAACGTAAGTTTCGGAGGAAAAAAGCCAAAGAATATGTATCTTCTCCTTCAACAAGAGCAAAAGTAACTGGAAGAATCTTGCGATCATCATCTTGGACAACTGCCAATAATAAAACTTGCTTGTATTTTCATACAAGAAAGTCCCATCGATCTGGACCACAGGCTTGCAGTATTTGACAGCATTAACGTACTGTGGTTAAGTCCAAAAAACCCGGTAGAATTAGCATCGATCGTGAAGAACTCGATCATTATGGTATGCGTAGGAGGTTTCGAAGTCCATAATTGTCCCAGGATTCAACCTCTGCACCAGCCTAAACCAACTTAGAAGTTTGTTGTAAAATGCATCCCATTCGCCATGAAGTTTGAGAATGGCATTTTGTTTTACCAACCACTCTTTTTTATAGGAGACAGTGTACCCATACTGCGATTGTATAGCTAAAATCAACACAGCAACAGCTATATGGGAGCTTGCTTTTACCATGGGCATGATGGCTTGGCAGATCACTTCAGAGTCCAAGTTGGGATAATCTTGGTTGATCCCTCCAGCACAACATGTGTGAGGACTGTTGTATATTGTTAGTTCTTATCTATTGTTTTTCCTCTTCCTTTTCGATACGCGAACCATCCAATTGCATCCGTTTTCGTTTCGGGCACATGGGCATACATGTTTTTTTTGTCGTGGAGCGGTCGACTCTGGATTGAATAGAATTATGGATATTGTAATTTTTTATAGCCATCATCGCTTCTTCCTTGCTTGAAAACTCCATGCCTAAAGATAACTCACCATTATTTATTGCTGAGTAATATCCATATTCACCGAGATGAGGCATATCCGTAAATTCTAACCCGTACATTGCACCATAATCAGCTTCATACATGTGTGTTGGAGGGTCAGTTTGTGCCACATTTGAGGGAACTTCGTCTACATCATCATCATTGGAGTTGAATTGTGGTGATTCTGAGTGAATGAATAGTCCAACCTCAGCGCCATCCGCACCAGGATCACGAAGCGGTTCTTCTGGTGGAGATGATGGTTCCTCTATGCTCTCCACATTTAGGTTGAAGAACCTACTACTTGCACACCTTCCCCTTGAATTAGAAGGCATATCGACATTGAGATCGAAAAAGCTCGCAGTCGAATGCCTTCCCCTTGAGCTTGAAGTCATTGTGTCAAATGAAAACTCCACAGATTGTTGTATTGATGGCATCTCTATATTAAGGTCAAAGAAATTTGCAGATGAATGTCTTCCCCTTGAACTGGACGCCATGTTACCATACAGATTGTTTTTGGACCCACCTCGATACTTATTGTAAGGAGTTGCTGATGAATGTCTCCCCATTGAAGTTGATTTGACGGCACCATGATGCGGATTTCATATTATGGCATTAAAATCATTACACATTACTGTAGTCGGGCTGTCAACTTGATCAACTTGTTTAGCCATCCCATAGTGGGAGCTTAATGACTTACCCTGACTATCACGCACTTGAACAAACTTTGCATACATCTCAATATAGCCGTCTGAATAATTACTTTGAGAATCAACCATCATTTCAACATCATCATTGTTCGATAGTTCGAACGCTGTATAAGTTAATGGCAACAATGATGTTGAAAATCTGTACTGCAACAACGACATTTTTCTACTACTTTCAACATGAACCTTCCTCGAAATCATCGTTATCAACTCCTCAAGAGTTATGTTTCTCTTGAATGATATTTTAATACGCTCATTTGATATAAAAACAACGCAAGTTTCATCATCTCGAATTTCTCCTCAAGAGTTATACCAGAGTTAACATTAATACTTATTTCTTTTGCTTTTTTTGTTGTTGCTAGATAATGTTTCATGACACTGTAAAGTGCTTCTAAACTATTCATGTAATCATGTTCCTTGACGAATGTGTTCATCGCTTTTCATATTTAATCATTTCTTTTAATATTATTAGAATAAAAAATAAATATTTAAGTAATATCTTTCCATTTATAATTTTTCTATAAGCTTACTTAAGTTTGTAGTTTGAGTGTGATATTTGTTTAAATATACCTTTTGTAACACCCTCAATCTAGTTTAAATGAAAATGTCACGAAATTCAGTCGAAACCAAACAAGAAGTGGAATCATGAATATCAATCAATTTTATCCTTAATTCTCATTTAATTTTTCTTACTAACCAATTATTAAGCATTCTAACTTAAAATCACGTCCGGGGACTAAATTAAATTATTTAAAAAGTTCAAGAACTTATTTGTAATTAACACAACTTGAATGCTTCCATTCATCATATGATATTAGGACTCATTCAAGGAATGATGAAAATTTTTGCAAGCAACCAAATAGATGGTTGAGGTCTCCAATGAGTTTTCTATGGAAAAAGATTGGCAACAGCTCTGAGTTGACCGTATATTAAGGGGTTGTTTGTTTACCTCTTAATGGAACCATTCAGCGCTGAATGTTGAACCGTTCAGTATTCAGCGCGTTTGTTTCACACCTCTGAATGATTCAGTGCTGACTGATTCAGCAAAACAGTGTTGAATGATTCAGCACAAAAGTACATTCTGAATCATTTAGAGCCAGTTATCAAACAACATGTCACATTCAGAGCCAAACCATTCAGATTCTTTGAATCATTCAGCATTTGAATCATTCAGCATTTGAATCATTCAGCGCTTAATCATTCTGAAGTAAACAAACAGCCCCTAAGTCTTTTTTCCCCTTTCCATTTAATTGGTAGGACCAACAAATATGTGGAAGTATTTAACACTTCGTTGCCAAAGAACAGCTTTGTTATTGCTAGTTCTTGCACCACGCAATTATTAACATAAAATTATTTATAGCATAAAATAATTTTATCATTAACATAAATATTATAAAAGTATAACAATTTAAATAGTGTAATCTTAATAAAACATAGAAAAAATAGTGTAATTTCTTTTTTGTTTTTTTGGTAAAATAAAAGTTTAGGTCAGGAGTGGTTCCCCCAGTCCACGGTCCAAGAGTGACGACGGTAGGATTCAAACTTGACCTCACAATCTCAAATTCTTGAATTTTAACCACTTGTACCAACATTCATTGGAAGTGTAGTTTCTATATTATTATATATATTTTCATGAAAGGCATTTTATTATTGTTTTCTCTTTTGTAACTATTAGAAATTTAATTTACTAGAATTTATCTCTTAGTTTACATTACATTCTTCAACTGTATTAAATAAAATAACCCGTTGAGTGATCTCAGTAGTAGAAGGGAGTGTTATTTTCGCTAAATGACTCATGTCCAAGTAATTGCGTCGATAGGGTGTGTGTAGACGTTATCATTGGCTAACAAAAATTTTGAACAGATATTATCTTATAATTACCCCACACTATTAGAAAAAACCATCCTACATTACATGAAAATCATAATTAAGACAAGTACTAAACCAAATAACAACATTAGTTAAGTAGTAACATGGGAAGTGATGGAGATGGAGGGATGGGTACATTCATTGTTCCTTCCAGCATCATGGTCACATTCTTCATCAGTGGACGCGAAGTTGGATCATCTTGAATGCACCACAGCCCCACCTTCACAAACCTTTCCACCATTCTCATGTCCACCTCTTCTTCGCCTTCCACAAGCTTGTTCAACTCTCCCCCAACAAAGCAATTGTATACCCATGTTGAAAGCAGTATCTCGTCTGCACTACAAACTTGTACTTCTATGTTGCTTCTGCAACATATGATCTCCAATAGTATCACTCCAAAACTGTATACATCAACTTTTTCCGATACCGATGCACTGCTTTGTCGTTCGGGTGCTGAGTACCATTCTGTCCCTTTGGTCCCAGTGGTACTTCTTGTATGATTAGGCCTCAATAGCTTTGCCAATCCGAAATCCGAGATCTTTGCAGTCAATGAATCATCCAATAGTATGTTGTGGGGCTTGAGGTTGCAATGGATGATGCACGCCTCACACTCTTCATGTAAATAAAGAATACCTTTAGCCACGTCCAATGCAATTCTGGCTCTTTCTTTCCAAGCTGGGCGTCCGTTCATGTTGAATAGAAAGTCTGCCAGTGAGCCATTGCTCAAGTATTCATAAACAAGGAGCTTCCTTGAACCCTCCACACAAAAACCGAGCAATCGAACCAAGTTCCTGTGGTTAGTTCTTCCGATGACAATCATCTCGGTTCGAATACGATCCGTTTCTCCTTCGTTAACTTTCGGCAATCTCTTGACCACAATACTTTTACCATCCCCTGGCAAAATTCCTTTATAAACTACTCCGAACGAGCCTCTACCTAACTCATCATCGAAGCCATGTGTTGCTTCATCTAGCTCATTGAAAGTGAATGATCGTAGTGTAAACTGCTCGGTTAAAACTTGACTTGTATTTTCTGAAATCTTCTCGTAACTTTTGACTCTATGCCTGTATAGCAAGAAGCTGCACAACGCCATCACGAAAGACAAGCTTGCAACGGAACCCAGACTTAATCCCACAGTTAAAATCAGGCTTCGGTTTGATTCGTTTATCAATGTTGGCCTGATTTCAGATGAGGAACCGACAATCACCTTGATGAAGGCTGTAGTGTTTATATTTTCATGTCTTTTACCATATTTGAGCGGTAGTCTAAACATGTTGCAGTTTGGGATAGAATAGAGAACCCCACCACAGGAGCAATCCTCCTCGCAAGCTTTCTTACACTCTTCCTTGTCCAAATTATGCTTCACAGAATAAGGATCACCAGCCCACTCCATATTCTCCAACGTAGTGATGTTGTACTGTATCAATAGATCTTTCCTTGACTCGCACCCATCCAAGGTAAAATTCTGAGAGCAGCTCGGGATTTTGGTGCTCTCTGAGGTGAAACCAGGATAGCAATAGCACCCGAAATCGTCACCCTTGCTGGAGCAGTAGCTGTTCAACCCACAGTGACCATTAACATCACATGCATCATCCACATTCTGCCAAATGTTTGAGATGGTATTTTTTTCAAGTTGATGGGAGTACAGTCTGAAAATTCCGTCAGGATCAAGGCTTGCTCTATAGATGATCATCGTTTGGTTCCCAGTTGTAGAGCCATCCGCCACAAGCCATTCTCCGTAGAGATCTGATTCTGAAGATATTGTTAGAACGCCTCTCGTGTTGAGATTTAACACAGAGAAAGGATAGCCATTAGTACGAGTGGACCAGTATGCGTCATTAGTATCAAGTTCGGCAGAATTATTTACATAGGCTACAAGGTTACCATCAGTCTGCATTATCAGCAAAAACTGGCCACCGGCGTGGTTTGATCTTGACACACTGGAAATCAACTGGTTATGATCTCTTGTTAAATTCTGGCCTCCTAAGATTGTGTCGGTCGGGAAATCAAAGCTCTCCCAAACAACAGACCTGTTCTGGTAGAGCACGAAATTCCCCATGTCCAGCATACAAGCTGAATAAACAAACCCCGAGCTGGAAGTGTTCGCAATTATTTTCTGTGCACCGTTCTCAGTCCTTAAAAGCAACGTGCCTTGTGCTGTGAACTCCAAAGTAGAACTAGCGGAGACCGGTGGATCATTCCGATTTGCAGTCCAGACAGTGGTGTTTTCCGGGCGGCCGACAAGCCAAATTCCTGCAGCATATCCACCGCCTTGCCGATAGAAACCAAATTCAAAGTGGCCTGAAGGTGAGGGCCATGATCTCGGGTGTTTTCCGGCATATAGAGTAGAACCTGGTAGGATAATATTGGGCTCGTTTTCTTGAGCTATGACGTTAACATGTAAAGAAACCACAACGAAAAGCAAGAGAATGTGTGACAGTAGATGAGCCATATTTCGGATGGAGATGAGAAAGAAGCCCTCTTTGCTTTGCAAAATATTTTCACCTTTATTTTTCGCAACCAAAGTTGAAGAAGTTACGAGTTTCACAAAGGAATGATATTTAGACAATTTAGTGCAAATTTAGGCGATGTTCACAAAATCTAGACTTAAAAAATGTTAGGGTAAAGTACACAAATGGTCCCCGACTATAAGATATTATTTTGTTGAGTCATCTGACTATTAAAAATTATAAAATAGTCCTCCAATTGTATGACGTTTTGTTGAGTCCATCGACTATTAAAAGTTATAAAATAATCGTCTGGCTATTCATATATTCCAAAATAATCTTTTTTGTTAAAAAATGACATCGACCGACTATTAAAAGTTATAAAATGATCATCCGACTATTAATATGTAATTTTTTTTTGGTACAAAAAAGTTTAGGTCAAGGGTGACTCCTCCAATCCAATGTCAGGGCATACCTAAGACACAATTGAGATTTACATAGAAATTTACAGATTGTCCACCAAGAGTGACGGTGGTAGAATTCAAACTTGGCCCTATAAGCTCAAATCAACAAAGAAATGGGGCAAAGGAGAATCAAACTCAGGACCTCTAGGGTAATAGAGCATTCATATGTAATATTGAATGACATATAATTTAATTTTTATTTGGCATAATATTATTAATTAAGAATCATTGTTGATGTGGTGGGAAGAGTCCATCTAATAATTTTCCGTGATCAAGAGATTCAACGATAAAGCCTGAAAGGAAAAAATGCAAACTTTTTTAAGGGGGTGATGGAAACTTAGTGGTGTTTGATTTATAATTAGTGTAATTAACGCTAATATGATGGTAAACTCATAATAAAATTTCCATAGTTAATGCTTACTTTGCAAGAAAAGAAAAACATTTTGCAAGAAAAGAAAAACATAGTTAGGTAGGAGAAAGACTTTGGGAGTCCACTCATTAAATTCTCCACCCTGTGGCCAAATGTGTATGAGGACAGCATTCACCGTAATTATGAAGTGGTGAATATTCAAATTATATCGTTTTCTTTGAAGTGATATATAAATTTTTTTCGATCAATTCAGGTGTCTAATATTACAAATGTTATCACTTTAGGTGTCTCGACTGTAATAGTCGTTAAATACCTTGTTAAGTAATCCACGTCATATTTATATAATTATGAAAAAAAAATATTTTAAAAAAACTTAAAGATATTAATATTTTAAAAAACCCTAATTTTCCAGAAATTATAAAAAAATCCAAATACATAAAAATCCCTAAAATCAAGCTTAAAACTCTAACCCTAGTTTCTACCTTGCCAGCCACGGTTGAAAAATCAGTATTCCGAAAGCAATCTCACAACTTCATATTTTAATGCTTTAATTAGATAGAATATTTTAATTAAAATACAAGTCCATATTACGAAAGTAATGTCACACAACTTCATATTTACCAACAACCGGTTGATCTAGTGAGATGAGACATTAGATTCTTTAAACAAGGTCAGGAGTTCAAATTTTGACGTTCACGAATGAAGCAAATTGAATTGTGAAGGTTACTCTCACCTCTGCAGTATCCGAACCGAATTAATTGATTAATAAATCATATACTGATGGTTAAAAAAATTAATTTTTATCAGAATGAAGGTTTATCCAGCCATCACGAATGCCTTGGTTCTTTTTGTGCTAAAAATGTAAAGCCTACGCAGTAATACGCATGAAATCACATACATCTTACATACGCATTTATTTTTAAATTTGAACTTCAATTGAGCTTTAATTTTTTATTTCAAGTTTGATCAAGCTTAACATTTTTAAGCTTTCGAGCTTTCGAGTTGAACCTCAGTTTGTGTTTTCGAGTTCAAATCAAGCTTAACAATATTAAGCTCATGAGCTTTTTACAGCCCTATTAATATAAGGCATATCTAGCTAGGAATTCAGAATTATGATATTCCAAATATATCAGACTTATATGTATGAGAGTAGGATCCTATAAAAAGCTTCTATATGATTAAATACATTCATATCAGGCACATAACTGTATTAGAATCCGAATTTGAATAACATGGATTATACCTACAACTCATAAGCTAAAGCATCCTACTGAAAATCTAAATGCAGCAGGGGAATCAATGGAGAAATGCGAAGTAATAGAAACCACACCATATCTGCGGGCCTGTATAGCCTAAATCCGCCACACTAAGAGACAAAAAGTGCTTTTTTACAAAGTTTTCCAGCCCAAGGATACAGCTCTATTGTAAGCATAAATCTTAACCCAAAATTTCTATTATATATATATAGGGATAGGATCCAATTATACAGTATAAAACTTCTTAGTTTTACACAGATTTATGATTGTTGGATGAGTAAAAATAGATAACTGAGATTAACAATAGGAAATGAGAAGATATTCACTAGAAAAGAAGACAACAAATTAATCTCAACCGTCTATTTTCACTCATCCAACGGTCTTAAATCTGTGTAAAACTAAAAAAAAGTTCTACATTGTGTAAGTTGATCCTAAATCATTCATATATATATATATATACACTCATACTGTCACAAAACGGGGGAAATGCCTTCAACTATATAGCATGTAGTAATCTCTCAAACCATAGCGCTGTACATATGTGCAAATATACCAATATCATAGAAGAAGACAATTCTCATGTACCTTTTCCCGAATGCTTAGCTCCAGAGGCAAATGGGGCAGGTGTGTAAGACTTACCACCTTCACTAAGCAACAAGGCTTTTAACTCTTTGTAACCCCGAAGTTCCTCTAATGCATCGGCCGTTGTCATTGATGCGGCAAACCTAGAAGATGCAATAATTGATGAGGCATCATGTTCAATGGTCGCAGCCTCTGAGTTCTGGTTTTGCTCTTGGATGTTGTTATTGCACATTTCTGTCCTCGAGGCTTCTGAAAGATTAATTGAACCTGAGATGTATTGGCGAAGAGGAGGGGCTTTCTTCAGCATACGTACAAGAGCACCAACTGCAGCATCTTGGGATTTTCTATTCATAAACAACCCTTCCTCGTTTGGATCAGACAGATGTTCTCTCATATCATAACAAAGAGAAGCAAGCCAAGTCATTTAAATGAAGGGGAAAAAAAGCAAATTCATATCAGTGGTATATATTGATCTAGCCGTTTCTGCAAAATAGTATGAATAGTTACATATACATTGGAGAGTAACATAAGAGGCTTAATATAATGTATGGCTCCTGAAGTTGACAATCGTTCTAAAAGTGGTACCTAAACTTTTTTAGACCACTTTGGCATTAAAATTTAAAATTGTTTTCAATTTTTTTCTATAAGTGAAGGCATCGTTAAAACCCCCTTCATGATTAATGGAGCTCGTAGAGAAACTCCTTAATCAGCGGAAGGAGGAAAAGAGTGACTTAGATTTCATTAATAATATAAAGGATACATAAAGTTAAAAACATCAAGAATGACCCCTTACAAAACAACCCGAAAACCAAAAACAAATACCCCTAACAACAACACTCAGCCTATTCCAGGCTTAGCTAAGCCATCTGCCTCTATATTAGCTGACCTAGCAACCCATCTAATCACACCCTCCGAATGTTTAAGCCTATCAGCAATATCCTTGACAATTATTACATATACATCTGGACATTTTTCAACATTCTTAACCCATTCCACTGCCACCTTACTATCACTTTCAATTATCAACCGACCCTTAATACACCCTCGAAAAGAATCAAAGAAATATAATCCCTTCTGAACAACCTTAAGCTCCATCAAAGTAGGTAGACCCGGGCCAAAAGCCTCCTGGAAAGAACCTAAAATCGAACCTGCATCGTCTCTTAAATTACCACATATTCCACTTCTCTTCTAGTCACCGTTTGTTGCTGCATCCACATTCAATTTAATGAAGCCCTTAGGAGGAGGGGACCAAGGAAGCTTAGTGACAATCAATTTGTTGAAGGACGAACATAAATCACCTTAGGATGGATCACTGATTAGAGAGTCCTTAGGAATAGAAATATCTTTGAACTTAGCTAAGAACCAAGAAGCAAGCCTAAATCTTGCTAAGAAAAATAAGTTAGCTTGGCAAGTTAAGGGGGCATTTATTATATTAAGCCTAATCATAGAGATCCCTCAACAGAAGTGCCAAGTCATACATAGAATCGGCCTCCAATCCTACCATGTGACCTAAAGATATGAGTTACAATCCTAATTTGTTAATATAGCTATGTTAAAAACAAAGATATCGAAACAAATACGATTCGCTCACTGATAATGGTTGCACATTACAAAAACAGTGGGATATAGAACTGCTTTCTGCTAAATACAACCGACACAGAAACTTCAGCATGGCAGTGATGTTAAGGCACATGCCTAGGCCTTCAAGTGCAACCAAAATAAGGAAAGCCTCTTCACAACATTCCAGGCAAAGCTATTTTAATAAGGTGATAGCTTAAATGTGTTGCGCTTTATTCCAGGCACTTTTTTCCAAAAAATCACCCTGACACACTAATATTACCTGTCAGACACCCTTTCAACTTTTTTTACCGATCTAACACCCTTTTGTAGTAAAGCGCGTCCCCTGAAGCGCGTTTTACGCTGATCTAGCGCCACGTGGGGGCGCACCTTATGTTGACTTGGATACACTTGGCTAAAGTGCGGCCCTTGGGGCGCGCCTTACGCCACGCAGGGCTATAGCGTGGTGCAGGGGCCGCGTCTTGCAATTATCACATTCAATTATCACATGCATAATGCAAGGCGCAGTGCAGGGGCTGCGCCTTGCATAATTTATCCAAATTTCTCGTCTTTAAAGCATCGTCTCTCCGCTATAAAAACCCCTTCCCCCTAAAACTCTCTCACAAATTCCTCTCAACCTAGAAACTACTGCAATAATCCTCTCAACCAGTAAAAAAACCCCGGCAATCCTTTTATATTTTATTCAGAAGTTCGTTCGATCTTTCGTTATAAGGTATTTTTTTATAATATTTTTTTATAATTATATATGATTATTTGAAAAAAATATTGTATTAATTGTTTTCAATTAATTTTTATGGTTGTATAATTGGAAAGCGGGAGCGTA